GAGGGTGCAGGCAGGGCTGAGGGCCCCCACCTATTTATGAATTTCATGCATTGGGCCTCTAGTACACATAGAATCCTATATAATAAAAGCCTAGGTGGCATCACAAGATGGCCACCACAAGATGGCCGCCACAAGATGGCCAGTTGGGGGCGAGATCAGGCCAGCAGGGGAAGGCAGTTGGGAGTGATCAGGTCAGCAGGGGAGCAGTTAGGCAACCAAAGGGCCAAACAGCAGAACAACTGTCCAGATGGCCATGCTATGACACACACTGGCGCCAGGCCAGCCAAGGCAGTTTCTATGCGATTGGTCGAGGGGCCCCCATCATCGCTCCATGATCACCCCACAGCTGGAGGCCCAGGCCACTGACCAGCGGGGTGATCAATTGTGAAGGAAGGGGGATGGCGGCAGACGCGGGCAGCTCTAGGCCAAGGTGGGTGTGGGTGGGGGCAAGGCCGGCTGCCAGAAGCCGGGGGAAGCCCATGTCCCAGTTTCTGGAAGCCGGAGGGAAGCCGGTGCTGGCAGCCAGAGGAAGGAAGGCCTACCCTTGCAAGAATTTTGTGTGTAGGGCCTCTAGTATAGTCAATAATATTTTAATAACTATGTATGGTGCCCATTGGGTACAGGAATATTAGGGGGAACACTTTTTAAAGTGTATGATTGGCTAACCATTATGCTGTACATATGAAACTAATAAAAAATAATGTTGAATGTAAACAGTCATTTACTTTTAAAAATATAATAATTTTGAAAAGGAACAGCATTTCAATTATCAAAATAAAGTGTTTTAATCACCATTTTAAAGACCACTTATATTCAAATGATGATGACAGTTATAAAAAGTCTTGTTAATTCATTAAGACACATTTCCCAAGCCCCTATGCCAAACAATGCTTTATTTAAACCAACTTCCTGTTGGAATTTAAAAACATTATGGACAGAAGCACCTGTGATTGTCTGCAAAGAATCTGTAATTCATACTCTTCATCCAACTGCACCGCCCAGTTAGTCATCCCCCAAGGGGTCCCAGATTGGAGAGGGTGCAGGCCGGGCTGAGGGACACCCCTGTGCATGAATTTTTAAGTCTTAATGTTGCAGAATATTCCATCTGGTGGAATGGTTCCTGCTTATTTAAGCAATCCTTCCACCAGAGCTTACCTTAGCAATAGTGGGGCTCTGCCTCCAGATCTGCTGGTGTTCATATTCTGGCTCATCCACAATCTACAGGTAGGACAATGGTTGTGTAGCTCAACCTTATGATTCCTGGTTTTCACACCTGTAGGTATAAAAAGTGTGGACAATTCAGGAATTCTTCACAAAGGTTTGTGGTGCATATGCAGTGAGCACTTCACAAGAACTTGGGATGATGCCTGACCTACAGAGTCTCACTAAATAGTTGCTCTTATATTTTGGAATTTTGGATTATCCCAGTGTTTGCACATAGATAATGCTGTGACATGCACATTAATAAATTATTTCCTTAGTAATAGAATTTCAGTGAAAAGTAACATGTATATTTTAGCTTATACTTTACTAATTGTAAAAAAAAAAAAACTATTGAAAATTGTCTAATATTTACCTTTCTGAGGACATATTATTTTTTTACTTTTTACTACAGAAAAATATCATTTGTACACTCTGTTAGAGAGAAGAATTTTACAATGCCAAGCACCTATTATTTATCTTCAGTAGTTATTAAATCATGGCCATTTTTATTTAATCTAAATGCTCACACCCGCTTATCTTCCTTTATTATTTTGAAGCAAATGCCAGATAACTTATCACTTTATCTGAAATATTGCAATATGTATTGTTAAATAATAAGGACTCATAAAAGCACATATCCACAGGATCATTATTATAAAAATTTTAAGAACAAATTTCTAATATCATGCCAATTTTTAAATTTATTTTTAGTGTGTTTGATGATTTCCTGAAATAATTACAACCTAATTGATTTTTAGGTAAACACTAGCTAACTCATTACCCAGGATTGGTCTTCATGCTTGTTCTAATTTATTCTATCACAGTTATAAAGACCAGCTATTATTTATTGAGTTCCAACTATATGCCATAACTTTACATGATTACTTCTACTCTTTCTACCACCACAAGACTGAATTCATCCCTGTTTATATGTGAGTGAACTGAGGTTAAGTGGGATCCTGTGAATGCTGGAGAATGGTACAGCCAGTTTCCAAGTCAGTCAGACCTCATGTTTGACTCAGGGACACACACCTTCTGCAGCACCACCCTGTCTCCTGGCTCCTTCTCTTAGTTCATTCCACACGTCAAGGCCTAATCAACAGTGAGCTCCTCTTTCATATTTTCCTAGGCTACTCTCGCCCATGGAGACATCCAATCTGGAAATTATTTTCTGTCACTCACACATCATATACTAGGCTATCTTCCATCAGTGTTATTTTTTAATGTGTATCCTGTATGCTCAGAATATAATCAGCATAGTTCCTTCTACCTTGTAGGTGCTCTAAAGGTGTGTTAATATTGGCATTGTGGTCCTGCAGTAGCACCATGGTCACTGATGAACGTCTTCACAGTTAAGATGTTTCTTCTATTTATCCCAGTGGTTCTGTGTGTTCAGGCCAATCAATCAGAGAGTTTAAACTCTTAGATTATAAAATACAATCAACTGATAGAATAATAGAATCCAGGTGGTTTGCTGAATTTTCTTTGTGTTGAAATTGACAATACCTAAACAATAAAAATAGTAGGAATAGGGGAGGAGGGAGGAAAGAAAGTTAGTAGAACATTTCTAGTTAAAAAAAAATACTTTTCATTTAATTTCATGTCTTAAGTATCAAGAAAAAATGTACTATGTATGCCCATATTTAATATCCTATATAATAAAAGCCTAATATGCTAAATGTCTGGTCGGCTGGTCAGCCTTACAACCAATCAAAGCATAATATGCTAATGATATGCTAAGGCTGCTCAACCACTTGCTATGATGTGCACTGACCACCAGAGGGCAGGTTCTTTGACCAGTAGGTTAGCTTGCTGCTTGCTGCTGGGGCCTGGCTGAGTGAGACCGCCAGACATGCCCTGCAGCCCTTCATTGGTCCCTCCCTGGCCTGAATCCTGCACCAATGGGGTCCCTCAGGCTGGCCTGTGCCCTCTTGCAATCTAGAACCCCTCAGGGGATGTCTGAGAGCTGGTTTTGGCTCAATCCCACAGGCCAGGCTGAGGGACCCCACTGGTGCACAAGTTTGTGCACCGGGCCTCCAGTGCTACATAACAGAATGCTCTAAATTATACTTACACTTGCACACACACACACAAACCAAACATCAAATGAAAACCATTTATCTGTTAACTAAGAGACAGTAGCTCAAAAGGCAGACAAAATGTCCCCAAGGAAGTTAGTTCACTCAAGGAAAGTGCTTGAATCAAACTAATAATTAACCCACATCATCACGGTCACAAGTCTCTACTGCACATCTTTGTAATTAGAAGGACTTGCTTGTAAATGTGAACACTTTCTCTGAACCTTTAGCAAAAATAAAAGAGTATTCCCAATCTGCTAACAATATACATAAATATGCAGCCTTCTTTTTTTGTTTTCACAGTTGCAGGTTGTTATAGAGTTTTCACGAAAGTAGAACAAATTAGCAATCAAATTAGAAAGCAAAAGCCAGGTTTGATTATGTTCTAGGTGCCATTAATTCAATGAGATAATTTCATGGGGAACTAGGAACATTGCATATGTCAGTTGGAAAGAGAAATTATGTCAATACAGCTTCTTGCTTACTATTTTTATGACAGAGGCTTGCTGCCAGACCTAAGCTATGCTGTTCTAAGAGGGAACCTTTGCTGTACAGAGACAAAGTTGAAAGGGAATTTCAGAGTGGCCTTGATTAAGAGAAGAGCATATCTCAGCATTTGGATAAACGTACAGTCAATAAGCAGATGTTTTAAATGAAGAAAATTGGAATGGGTTCTGGTTAAATTGTCTTCTGCTTTGGGAGCCTATGAGTTCAAACTGTAATGGGCAACTGTCCTAAATGCTTTGCACATATCATTTACTCCTCCACAAAGAAGTGTTGAGGTAGGATTCATGCTTCCCATTGGCCCAAGGAGAAACAGTCTTCACAGTGTTCACCTGCTTCCCTGGGACTGCACAGCTAGTATGGAACTGAGCAAGGCTTCCCGCCCAGTGCTGAAGCCCAGTCCCACGCTGGCCCCACTAACCTGGCAGTGGGACAAGGACCTTGCGCAGTAAGATCTGGGGCCGGCATGTACCTGCTGATTGAATGTCATCAGTGTGGGATGCTTCCTTTCCTCATAGAGGTGGCAGAACTCTATGTAGGGCGTCACATGAGGCCTATTTGCCCAAGTCTTTTCTCTTTTTGGGGATTGGATGCCAATTCCTAGACATTTAAAAAGTTGAGTCCGAGAGTAGGACATCTATGCCTTTCTCACTGTTTCCATAAATCCCTCTCTTCTATTTCAATGGATTCCCACCCTTCACCCAACACCACAGAGCAATGCTGCTACCTCCCCTGTACCCTGCTCTCAGTAATTTAGAACCCATTTAAAACCCTCCTGATACAGGAGAAAAAGACAAACCAGAATTCTTAGCATCTCAGTTTTAAAAGTAAGATGGTCCCAGTGAAATTTCTCTACACTGTGTTGAAGGCAGGGACATTTTATCTTTGCTTCTTGAAAAATGAGCCTGGCACATGGTAGTTATTCTGCAAATATATATTACACTGGACCTGAATTCCACAATGCAAATCCCAGTTCTCTCTTTTAGCTGTGCAATCTGTGCAGGGTTCTTAGCCTCTGTAAGCCTCATGTTTCTCATTTGGAAATGAGGTTGATGATTTCTGCCACTTGAGAATTATTGTGGAAAGCATATTATATAATTAATGTACAAACCCTCACACAGTGCCTAATGCATAGGAACAATAAACAAGCTATGATTATATCCTGAATACTCAATTCATATCTTAGTGTGTGTTTTCCCCTCTTTTATTTTGCAGAGGTTTCTGCTGTTTTTGAGGCTGGCACTTCAGTTACTTACATGTTTCAAGAACCCTACCCAGTGACCAAGAATCTAAGCCAGCCTTCCTCAGCAATTTACGCAGAGCCGGCTCCATCTAAGGAAAACATCGCACTTAGCTTTGTGACAGCCCAGGCACCCAGCCTCTTGCTTTATATCAATTCTTCCTCTCACTACTTCCTGGCTGTCCTGCTCTGCAAGAATGGTGAGTGCTGATGGCAGGGAGCCTGATGGAGTGTCATATTGGGCTAGAGGGAAAGTACTAGTATATGCCCTCCAGAACTCTGCAAAATTTCAACCTTAATTTGATGTCACCTGAGCAGCTTATTTCCAGACCTCCAGGCAAACCCTTGATTGAACTTGACCTTTATGAGTTGCAATTGATATTTCAGGCCAGTGTCAGTTCATTGCTGAAGTCAAATGCATCCACTTTAATTTGCCTCAACTGTGCAGTGGTAATTCTTTATTATTTATTCTGTGCTGGGATCCATTAAATGTAAAAAGAAGATCAGAAGCATATCTGAGTTTCAGAAGGACACTTGTCACATATATCCTGCCATCTTTACTGCAGTCTCCTTTACTAAGGTCTTTTAAAGCAACTAGCATAAATGCAGGCTGTATTAATAGAAGTGGATTGCTAGATCTTGGAGAGAAGTGGTATATGGGGATCATAACCTTGCTGGATACAGATCTGAGTTCTGAGAATCAGATTCTGAAAAGAATGTGAACAAAATGGAATATCTGAAGCTTAGAGGGATAAAGGAGTTAGAACCCATCTTATATGAGGGATGGTGAAAGACACCAGTCTTGATAGCTGTTAGGAAAAGTCAGGTTTTCTGTCCTCACAACTTAATTTCACATTGACAGAATGAGGACTATTGATATGGTCATGGCAAGGGCACTATGTGATCAAAATCCTAGGGGAACAAACAATTATTAGGATTAGGCAAAGAGGGCAGGATGTGGACATCCCTGTAGCATGGTCTCAAAGACACTTTTCTGTGATCAAGAATATGTATTTTCTCTTCTTGTAATTTTCTGTTATAATGAGATGTGTCTGGGCTTTAGAACCATCTCCACAGGGATCAACTGTGGTGGGGGATGGAAGAAAGGATCCTGAAATATGCAGCTCACACTGTACCTTCTCCAGACCTCATACACAGACTCTTGCTATTTCTCTTGCACTACTTTTTCTTGTGTTTTTTTTCTTTCTTCTTTGTTTGATCTTGCTTTAACTATTTACAGCATTGAAAATAAAGAATGGTGTATAGGACTAAAACAAGGATCAAAACTGGAGGGCCTCTGAGTTGAATCAGGCCTGAATGGCATAATGGAGTAATACATATTTAGTCTGATAGTGACTTCTGTTATGCGTTGTCTGTATCCATAGGAATGGCCTGACAGGTACAGATAGATGTGCCTGTGGGACCACACAAAAGATGCTCTGGGGGGAATCTTGCATCTCAGTGCTCTGGAACTATCTTACTTAGAGTTCAGCAATGTCCAACCAGAACTAAGAGGATCATTCATTCTCAGAACAACATGATGGAAGCAAAAAAGAGAGAGGGAGAGAAAGACTAGAAGGATAACTGGTAGTTCCAGAACTATTTGGTCTGGAAGAGCCTTCAAGACGGAAAAGAGGCAATATGGGTTTTAGACCTCTTAATTATCAGCAGGCATTTGTATGATTAGAACCCTAAGTTCTCAATCTTTCTTTCCATAGGGTCTCTGTGAGATTATAAGGCTGGCTGAGGACACTGGGGCCTGGATTAACTGGTTAACATGGGTCAGCCAGCCAATTCATGGCATAGCTGAGACTAGAAGCCTGATCTCCTGATAATCGGCCCAACAACCTTCCCTCTAAACTGGATGACCTTACTATGATGTGGTTGAACTCTAAGTAAGATAGTTCCAGAGCACTGAGATGCAAGATTCCCCCCAAAGCATCTTTTGTGTGGTCCCACAGGCACACCTGTACCTGTTAGGCCATTCCTATGGATATAGACAATGCACAACAGAAATCACTATATCAGAATAAATATGTCTTACTCCATTACTCTGTTATAATATACTAGAGGTCCAGTGCATGAAATTCATGCATGGGAGTAGGGAGTTCCTCAGCCCGGCCTGCACCATCTTGCAATCCGGGACCCTTTGGGGGATGTCCAACTACCAGATAGGGCCTAAACTGGCAGTCGGACATTCCTCTTGCAATCCGGGATCACTGGCTCCTAACTGCTGGCCTGTCTACCTGCCTGATCACCCCCAACCACTCTGCCTGCCTGTCTGATTGCCCCTAACTACCTCTGTCTCTGCCCTGCCGCTGCAGCTTCATCTGGAAGGATGTCTGGAATGACATCCGGAAGATCGTTTGGCTGTTCTATCTAATTAGCATATCACACTTTTATTATTATAGATACTCTATGGGCAGTATTCTAATTAATGCACACATTAATTCTCACAATAACCCTGTGTGATTGGTGTAGTTGTAGAAACTAAGACATAAATGTTTAATATCTTGATTAAAATTCTACAGCAAATAAAGAGAAGAGTTGGGACTCAATCCTCCCTCCCAAGACTGGCAGTTTATTCTGTATACTCCACCACAACAGCTAAACCAAGAGTGTTATATTTTTTGAAACATATCATGTTTTAAATAATTTGAATTTATTTAATTGGTAAGGCATTATTGAACTTTACCTTATTCCCTGTTTTCTTATACTCTAAAGCCCCATGTCATTGAAAAAATGTACTTGAATTAATGGACACCTGCATTTTAATTTATTTTTTAAATTTTATTTATTAATTTTAGAGAGAGAGAAAAGGAAAGGGAGGGAGAGAGATAAAGAGAAATATTAATTTGTTGTTCTACTTATTTACTCATTATTTGGTCAATTCTTGTATGTTTCCTAACAGGGGATCAAACCGGCAACATTGGCATACAGGGATGATGCTCTTACCAACTGAGCTACCTGGTTAGGGCTGGACACCTACATTTTTAAAACCCTGGCTAAATGAAGGAAGCAAAGAGAAACCTGTGCCTTGCTTTTTTGTTTTAAGCTTAGATCTCAGTGCAAAGGTAAAAGTGCAGGCCTGGCAGCTCCATCTAACTCATGGGAAATAGGTGTCCAAGTCATGGTTAGTAATGAAGTGCCCCCCTCTCTTCACTCAGCCTCAGATAGAGAATCATCACCCAAAAGCCCCAAACCCACGTCCCCACCATAGCTCTAGGGAACTCCTGTCGCAGTAGACAGTGATGGATGGCGCAGAGATTTAGGATACTGGGCATTTCTTGCTATCTCTCCTCACTGCAGAGGCACAGCTAAGATATGTGCTCATTCACTCATCCTTTCATTGACTCTCTGGGTGTTTACTAGTCCCACTGCACAGTGTCAGGGACTCAGGGACTATGAAGATCAACAAAGATAAGCAGGATAGGGTTCTTTCTAAACATAATGAGAGAGAGAGAGAGAGAGAGAGAGAGAGAGAGAGAGAGACTTAAATTTCCTGGAAAACAACCTAGATACATGAAAAATCCAAGTTGCTCATATGTCCCAAGCAGACCAACTAGAAGTCAGAATTTGCCTAACTTTAAAGATGAATCTCCTAAGAACTCAGGGATTGTAATAAGAAAGTAAATTACCTTAAGTGATAGTGGATTCCTTGCTTTGGAAGTCATCAAATAATAAATAAATGACAATTAATTAGGGATACCATAATAAGAATTCCAGCAGTGAATGACCCAGAATAATAAACTCTGAGTGTGTTTCCAAGTCTGAGATTTTGTGATTTTGTATTCCTTTCTTGTGTAGTCATGCATTTGTATTTCTTTCTGCTAGAGTTTCACTTGCAGACTTTGAAATGCTTCAGTGAGGAATTAAGAACTGGTATCCTTACAGCTTGTCCCCAGTATGTTGGTGGTATTAGGCCACTGATATAATTGCCAGTGAACAATATTGGTGACACTGTATTATAAAGAGGTAGGGATATTTTAATGTGACTTGGATACATTCCGGTGAAAAATATGCCTCTGAAAATACTAATGGAAGTTAAGAATATTTATAGATGGAAACAAAAGATTAGGAGATCAAATATGGTAAAGGGTTAACTGGGAAAAGTCTTTCTCTAAAAGTTTTATAAGATTGATTCTCACCTTCCTGAGATGGATTAAGGGTCTTCTGTTGGTTCAGGTTTCTTAACCTTTCTTTGATGTAAGGTGCCTTTGGGAATCCGGTGGAAATGATGATGAGAGCATCACCCTTAAAAGGAGTTCTCTTTGTTCTCCTGGGAGGAAGAAAGTGCCCACAGCCATTGTCAATCGCAGCACTCTGGGTTAAGAAGTCAGGGGTGAACACAGCGGGTGACCTGTGTAAATACTGAGTGGAATTCTTGGTTTGCAAATTCATTTAATAAGGTTCCCAGGCCAGGGAAAGAGGAGCAACGTGACTTAAAGTCACATTTGCAGGCCTCTCCCTGGCAGGGACTGGATTTGGCAGGTTCGGAATTCTTTGACCTTTATCTTTTTCCTTGAAATTTCTCCCACTAGAGAGTTATTCAGGTTAAGCTGTCCTCTTATCTTTTCAAATGAAAACAGGTTCTTCTTCTTAAAGAAAGAAAATCATTTTAATTCCTGGGACAAAAGAATAGAGGGAAGAGGAGGCATTTCTGTGTCAGAGGGTCCTTGGGAAAAAGAAAGTCATTGTGGTTTCATAGCCAGGGCTTTGGGCCACAGGCAACTTCTCAGAGACCCAGCTTTTGGAGGAGAAGGGGCATTGGCGGAGGAAAGGGGTCTGGAGGAAGAGACATTAAACTTTTGCAGAATTTTATTGAGTGATGGCTCCGCCTCTCCACAGTACCATGGGCTCTCTCCCTAAATAATTAATTTTAACAAACATTCACCAGGTTCTACCATGTGGCAGGCACTGTTTCATGTACCAGAGAGACCGAGATAGATAGTGTCCTGGCCTGCCTCTAATGGTCTATTCTGGGAACAGAGACAGAACACATACTGAGGGTGCCAATATAATGTAAGTGCTGGACTAGTCTGTTAGGGGTCCAGTAAGGCAAAGAAGGGAGTGGCCAATGCTTCTTGAGAGGGGTGTAGTGCCCCTGGCATTGGGCCATGAAATAGAATAAGAAGCTTTTTTGTTCTTTATTTCTCAATTTCAATTTCTTATTCAATTCCCTATTCTACTTTTGTATCAT